AACCTCAAAACCTCTTCTGCATCTTCTCAACGAAGGATTTCCTTTGTTTTTAAATGTATTCTTTGATCTTAAGAGTATTTTTTTGTAACTAGAGATGTTTTAATGTTGTCTTTTGTTTCGTGGCAGGATGTTTTATTTGTTACTTTCATTGATTGTGTTTTGTCTTTTCTGTCTTTTAAGTTATATTTTATAAACGGTCGGGAGTTTTGATTATTAAGTTTAAAACACAATGCGCAGCTGAGATATTTTGAGACTGGACCATCTTGCTTCATCACCTCTTGTTCTCTTCTATCACCTGTACAGATTCTAGAAGAGACTCACCCCAGTGTTCACGGCTCACCATTCGTGGCTCACGATCCCGACACCGTAGGAACATTCCCAGTGCCTCCCAATCCTGCTGGTAAGGTTTCAACTTCCCTATTTTTGATTAGCTTTTTTGAACAGTTCGCAGCACCAATGCGACGTTTTACACAAGTCCATTGCGGTCAAACCTCACTTAACTCTCATCTCATCTCATTCATGATTGAATGAACTCATCAGGAGCGGGAGTGTTACTTGTGGGATTCTAATTTCTACCTATTACTTTCTACAGCAGGTGTGGTTTTGGCGGAAGCTCCGACTCCTGCAGAGCATGGATCCAGCCACGGTCAGACATCCGTCAGTGGGTACCTCCCTCCTCATGTTGATCCCCAGCATCACTCCTCCCCTGATATCCACACCCATCATCCCAACACCCCGTCCACCATCTTTACACCTGGAGGGTCCTGGAGATATCCCTACCTCAGTGGATCTGGTCTGTCTACAGTTACACAGGGCGAGTCCCATTTGGAATGTTTGTCCGTTAATGAGGTAATGGATCTGGACTCAGAGAGCTTTTCTTAAACATAATTAAACAGTGGTTAGGATTTGTCTTTACTGAGACTGTTACTTGGTAACAAAGTTGTTGATAGCCGGTTGAACTTAAAGTCCTTCGCTGTTCTGCAAGAGTTTTCCTCGTGACGAAGGCTTTAAGGAGACTTAACAAACAGTATTCATCTTCATTGAGGATGTATTAGTGATGACTCGCCTATTTTCAGACAGGATGAACATAAGTTTAGAATTCAAGGTTTGTTGAAGTGAAACTGGTCACTTCATTTAAAATGGAAGTTGTAAGCAAACACGAAGCCTGAAACACGAGATCCGCCTAAAAACCAAATTGGTCTTACCAGGATTCACCGTTCAAAGCTAATAGTTGCTAGCCTCAATGACATGGAAAATAGATTTTTTGGAACTAGTATTTTACACTGGAAAGTGAAGTGCTGCGATTAGTAAAGCCTACGCAGAAAGTTAAATTACATTTCATTTACACTTAGTTGGAATCACTTGCAGTTCATTTCGAATATACGATTCGGATTATTCATGTGTGAAACTAATGGAGTCAAATATGGCGAGGGAATTGTCGGGACTGTGCATGTAACGCAATAGTAACCTGCGAATACAGCTCTCTCTCCTTACTCTGCGCCGCAAGGGACGTATCCCCAGGAGGGATGTTTTGCGGCAAGGAGCGAGGCTCTTTGTTTGAAACCTGTTCATGATGACCATGATAACGTTCAGAGCATGTGAGTGAAAGACTGAATCTGCCATCATGTTCAATACTGAACTCGTTCATTTGATACGCTTCGCGTAATCACTGATTAAATTCGCCTTAGATCTTCGTTTCTATCGTGTTTAAAACTTTTAACTACTAAGGGTTGATTTCCAGTGTCGCGTAATTTTTACGTGCGAACGCAGAGGTTCAACTTTCACGTTTACGCGTGACCTTTCATACATTGCCTCTATTTTATTTACGCGCGTTCGCACGTAAAAATTACGCGACAGTGGAAATCCACCTTAAGGGAGAAAAACATCGCCACCTTTCCAGACAAGCTTTTTCTAGTTAAGAGCTTAAAATAACTGCAGTAATCTATCGTTTAAATAGGTACAACAAAGCCTAAATGAGTAGTTAAGCCAAAACACTGAATTTGGTATTTACTGTGGAGTTCCAGGAATTGCTTCAGATATATCTGAATATATTCTGAGAAACGCATCGCTTCGCGCGCGAAAACGTTACTTTTTGCACAGAACAGGATTTCTCCGCTTAAAGTTTTTACATCTCACTTTAACGACGGTTGAGTGTTTTATAGGATACAGTATTTACTTTTCCCTGGCAACGATAAAAAGAGTGTTTTCTTTCCAAATCGATTGGCTGCGACCAAAAGGGCCTCGATTCGAGGGCCACGATATCGAGGCAAATTCGGTGATATACGTGCTTACATACAAACTTACAAACATATTCTCAAAAGAGGCCTGCCTCAGGCACAGTCAGTCACGTCCTCAGCCTGAATTAGTGGGCTTTGCAGCAATAATCTTCTTGTGGTATGACAAGCCAGAAGCGTATTTTGCGAAGGAGGCTACAGATACACATAGAAATGAGAATTGTTGAAAAAAATTGATACGACACTTCACTGAGTTATCCTAAAATCGCTGTACACAATAATGATTGAACCAATCAACTGAAGATCAACGTAGATTTGACTTGGTTTGTGATTTGTAATAGCATTTCCAAGGGAACCCCAAATCTGAACAGGACTGGCAATCAGAGCCTGAACTTATTCCTGATTCATCATCCGAATCAGAGATGGAACAACAGCAGGTGGGTTATCAACTTTTACAAAACTAAAGAAAATTATTCCATTCAATTTCATTCTGTTGAAGCGTAAAGTATTGTTCTTCGGTGGCATTTCAGAGGTTTTTCGAATGCTTGCCATTAGGCGCAACTCGGGGTACGGGAACTAATATCACTCAATAATTAACAATTATACTACCTCCTGGTAGACTTTCTTCGAAACTTTGGCCTATTTCTCGGCACAGTTTAGGATATAAAACCGATGTTTTTTTCCGTGCAGATACTCCTCAAACAATAGATAACACCCATCGAGCAATATGTTTTGCGTATTCTTGGATTTCCTACGTTCAGTTTTAGTCAGAAATTCAGCTACTTCATCTTTGATAGCCGTGAACTCCATTTTTTTTAGTCCACTATTACCCAAGCAGACTTCCAGGCAAATATACCATTGATCAACCTCGTTGCCAAGCAGAAATGCCAGGGATTTTACTTTACAACAAACGTGAAAAACGCGTGCCAACCGTTCCACGTTGAATGTCAAGTACTAGTTACAAGCGAAATAAATATTTCTTTAATTTAGTTATTGTACAATTGTGAATGAACGTTGAACAACAAAGACGGCTCAAAATTTAGCAAAAAACTACAAGAAAACAATGAAAATAAAATCCACGGGAGTTGTTTCATTGATGTAAATAACCTGCAAAATGGAGAAAGTTTGTTTTATATGATTTTTATATCATATAAAACATCGACCCCCTCTACTAACTATGCAGGGATTTGTAAATCCTGCTTTCTTGTGTAAATAGTCTCTTTTTTTTACCTCCTGGGAGGTGGGATTGTAGACTGAGTTGCGTGACTTGTTTCAGTTTGAACACCAGTCACCTGTTACCCAACGAGGTAATGAAGATGGATAAACGAATCCTTCCAATGCCTGCATTTTATTTAAACGTTGCTTACAGATTGATCCTCAATGAGGTAAACTTTGTTGAAAATAGTGGGGATCGACCTTAGTGAAAATTTTCTGACGGAAAATACTTTTAACATTATTGCTGTGGGAAGAGGATTTTTATTCATTTTAATCAAACAAGTAGCGTGAGAGTAGCCTGAACGATAAAATTCACCGAAAACGGTTGTGTTGATTCTTGAAATATATTTGCGTTTTATTTGAATTCAAATATACAGAATTTTTTACTTCTCGCGGATGTTATTTGCTAAGAACACCACACTTCAAGTTCCTGGTAACGGATTTTCAGTAGCAGGTCTAGGTCGCCCACAATTTGGAATTTATTGATTTCAAAGTTTTTTGTTTATTGTGGTCATAATGATATCGATTTTACTAAGAACTGCATTTTGACAAACCGTTCGATTCATAGCCAATCACTGGCGAAAAGTTTGTAGCGATCAGACAAGGACAAAATCACTTTTAAGACGATCGGTATGGTCTCCGAAAAACTGCATCGAAACACCTTAAGCACAGAATAAAAGGTAGACCATTTTGTTTTAAATTCCTTTTCACGGCCAGACGTACATGAAATTGTTAATTGTCTACTCTAATCTTGTCACGAACAAGGGAGACAAATTCGTCAAAGGTGTGAGCTTTACTTTTAAGAGCATTTTCATAAAGGAAATGCTTTCCTATTATGACCGATCTATCAGTGTTCACTGATAATCCTCAATCCTAATTTTATTTAATGTTTTGCGTGTGATTTGCTGCAAAAGTTGAAACTTTCATTGACTGCGCGTGCAGTTCTGTTTTTCCGTCCATCTAGAATAATCAAGGAAAACCTTTCCTTGACCATTGGACGTGTGAATTGCATTCAAAGTAACCGGCACTTTCATTTTGCTCGTCAGTGTCGTGGGTCGTCAGTCTTTTGCTATGTCTTAAAAAAGGAAAAAAAGAACTGTTCGTAATATGTAGGTAATGAAGGATAAAGGCATGAAAACCTTAACACATTAACTTCAAAACCTTACACTTCTCAATGAACGATTTCCTTTGATTTATAGATGTATACTTTGGTCTTCAAATTAGTTTTTTTTGTAATGAGTGGTGTTTTAATGTTGTTTTGTGTTTTGTTGCAGGATTTTTCATCGGCTGAGCCAGACGATGAGGAAGAGCGAGTGAGTTTGCTACTTTACGCACACTTTGTTTCCTTCATTGACTGTATTTTTTAGTCTCTTTTAAAACGAATAGGATTTTGTTTATCACGTTTAAACCACAATGCACAGCTGAGTGTTATTGAGAGTTTCCAATACTCGATGGGTTGGGTTTTTTTATTATTTCCGAGAAAAATGAAGCCAAAACCCCTCCGTGTTTTATATATAGTAAGCGTGATCAGTGTAGAGGCATGTTTTGTGTTTCGCTTCTTGCTTCTCATTTGTTCGCCTACACTTGAGAGAAGAGTCAAACTGTTAGAAGACTAGGGTTGCTGTCACATTTCGACTGTTATAAAATTGGCGTTCATTGACTTATTTTTGTTAATTGTCTCTCCTCGTGCACATGAAAACTGAAATCGTGGTCGTAAAATATCATAACAAGTGAATGATGTTTAGTGAAAGTGTTTGATTTGTGGCAGAATGAGGAAGAAATGATCGAATCTGAAGATGAAAGATGGTCTTCTGAACCAGAAGACAATCAGGAGCAGGTGGGTCATCAGATTTTGTGTGGGTGAATAAGGTATTTTCTTTGAAAGGGATTTTACTTTACAACAAACGTTAAAAACGCGTGCCAACCGTTCCATGTTGAATGTCAAGTACTAGTTACAAGCGAAATAAATATTTCTTTAATTTAGTTATTGTACAATTGTGAATGAACGTTAAACAACAAAGACCGCTCAAAATTTAGCAAAAAACTACGAGAAACAATTAAAATAAAATCCACGGGAGTTGCATCATTGATGTAAATAACCTGCAAAATGGAGAAGGTTTCTTTTATGTGATTTTTATATCATATAAAAGATCGACCCCTTCTATTAACTATGCAGAGATTTGTAAGTCCTGTTTCCTTGTATAAATAGTCTATTTTTGTACTTCCTGGGAGGTGGGATTGTAGTCTGAGTTGCATGACTTTTTTCAGCTGGAACACCTGTGCCTCAATGAGGCAATAAAGGTGGATAAACGAAACGTTCCAGGGGCTGCATTTTATTTAAACAGTGGTTACTGATAGATCCTCCTTGAGGTAAACTTTGTTAAAATAATGGGAATCTTAGTGAAAACTTTCTGTCGAAAAAAGCTTTTACCATTATTGCTGTGTGAAGAGGCTTTTTATTCATTTTAATCAAATAAGTAGCGTGAGGCTAACCTGAAAAATTAAAGTCACTGAAAACGGTAGCGTTGATTCTTGTAACAAATGATGTGACCTGCAGTCAGTATAAATTTATTAGTTAACCTGGTTCGGGGGACTCACGTTTTCTCACTTTGTGGTCTCGTTTTCACAACTTAAAGAAGTTGCTGTTCGCTCAACCATCTCATCAGCTCATCGCCTCTTGTTCTCTTCTATCATCACACAGATTGCGGCAAAGATTCTCCTCAGTCTTCGCGACGCACCGTTTTTTGTTTACAATCCAGAGACGCAATAGGACCGTTTCCTTGGCCTCCTGATCCTACTGGTAAGGTTCTAACTTCCCTGTTTTTGATTGGCTCTTTTTAAGCGGTGCTCTAAGAACCAATTGTACAACATTTTACACTAGTCCATTACGGTCAAAGTCGTCGGTACAGTTCATGTGAGAGAGTGTCAGAGCGGGAGTGTTATTATTGGGCCGCCCGTAAGGATAACGCCCAATCAAGAAATGAATCACGTCTATGTCAAAAAAGACAAAATGGCGGACGGAGCACCCAGAACGCTTTTCGTTTCCCATCCGCGCTTAAATCCAGCCGATTTTTGCGGGGAGGGGACGGGTCATTTCAGGTCTTCTGGGGACAGATTTAGAAGTCGGTTTGAAACGAACAGAAACTTATTGCGTTGAGTTATTGGCCCTAAGTCAACGCGGATAAATACAGTATTCGATGATGTAGTTAGCCTGCTTGCCTCCCACGCAGACGTTCTTAGGGGTTTGTCACCCGTTCCTGCCCCACGAACATCTGCTGAATCGAGTGGTTAAATTCCTTTCCCATTGTTCGCAAATATGAGCTGGAGCTGGCGTGCAGATTATTGGAGAACCAATCGGCGCTGTGAAAGTCCAAGTGTTGACAAGCCAAACGTATACGTTTAAGCTCGGTAGGGTGTGATACGTGATCAAAGAGTTCAGCTCCGAACAAGAATATTTAAGAGATAAGGGTTGACGTTTTCGTATATTTCTCTTTGTAAAGGCTGAACTAGATGTCATTTGCTCACAGAGGTGTTCTGTAGGTGAGGCAACGGTGGGGTTGTACGTTGTAACTGAACAAAAGGCAGAATTTTTCTGCGCACTTTATTGTTTTGTAGTAAAGCCGACTTCCGTTCAGCAAATTAAACCTCGAAGGTAATTTTTTCAATGAGATCGTGAGGGTAGTCTCTGGTACGAAGGCGTGTGATTTAACTGAGTAGTTTGTCCTAAAAGTATAAGGTCTTCACCTTTCGAGACCTTTCTGATCTTTTCTGGAGCTTAGTCTCGCACGAAAATTCTCAAGGTCCAAAGTGCGCTTCCCAGATCTGGAAGTGTGCTCTGATTGGACTACGTTTTTTACCGCTCGATTCAGCAGACGTTTGTGGGACAGGAACGCGTGACGAACCACTAAGAAGGTCTGCGTGGGAGGCTATTAGCCTGCAGGAGAGCTGCAGAAACAAGCGACCCTCCCACGGTCCCCACGGGAAAAGCTTCAACTTGTAGCAGACCTCCCCCCCCCCCGCGTGAGAAAAGTCTCTCCTTACAACAAGAAAGGAATATGCTAATTGTAGAAACATATTCACTTGCCATGGATTGTTAGGTGGCGAAGGGCTTTAAATGAAATATCCCACAGAAATAAAACTGAACCTTAATTGGCTTTGCGAATTCTAATAAGCAGAATACTGCTATTATGTAACAGTTATTAAAACATCAAAGGTTGACCCTTTCACGATTTATAAAAGTAGAACGACAATAATTTATGGAATTTTCGGCAAGATCAAACAAGTCACGTTATACTATCATGCTATATTTTGGGGTGCGTTGTGGAAATGTCCCAGTTAAGAATAATGCCAATCGTTTCTTGTTTCATAAGGCTAACTGTTTGGGGGATCTAATTTCTACCCTTTCCTCTCTACAGCCAGTTTGGTTTTAACAGCCAGAGCTCCTAATCTTGCGGTGCATGAATCTAGCCACGGTCTGGCATCCTTCAGTGGATACTTACCTCCTCATGTTGATCCACAGCATCACTCCTCCCCTGATATCCACACCCATCATTGCAGCACCTCGTCCACCATCTTTACCCCTGGAGGATCCCGGGGGAGGGATCCGTACCTTCCTAGTGATTCTGGCCTGTCTGCAGTTACACAAGACGAGACCGAGTTGGAATTTTTGTCTGTTGATGAGGTAATGAAGGCGGCCCCATAAAGCCTTAGGATTTGTGTTATAAAACATTTATTTGTAGCCTCCGTAGCAAGCGTTTCCGCGCGAGTTTGTCGAAAAAGTTGGGACGAGAGCAGTTTTAACGCAATAACTCGATTAGAAACGCATGCAACGCAGACCAATTCATTTGTGAATCAGTCATTTTCTTGGTACAAACTTTCCTGAAGGAAAAATATCGAGCTTCGTGGGGCTGGTAGATTGTTAGATCTCAATGTTGTTCCCTCACACTTGTTTTTATGACATAATTGCCATAATTCAAAAACAAACGTTTGGGAAACTTGTTATTTCTCGAATAATCCACTTAGCTTAATATGAATGATCTTTATAAAAAGTCAAATGATTTCACTAGTCAGTAGAACTGAGACGTTACCTTTGTGGCCTCGTTTTGAGAATTATCTGAACACTTTCCTTTTGTTTGGGCATCTTAGCAACTCATCACCCCTTGTTCTCCTTTCTCACCTGTTCAGATTCTGGCAGAGGTGCAGTGGGACACTCGCCCCAGTTCTCAGGACGCGGCGTTACACGACCTCAGTGGAGCCGTTGGACCAGTTCCAGTTCCTCTCGATCCTGCTGGTAAGGTTTTTACTTACCTGTTCTCATCCGTAGTACAACTAAAATAAAATAATTTCATGGGCTTGTAACGCAGTGACTGAATTAATCAGCGACGCGACACTAACACAAAAATTCCGTGTAGTGCTTTTGTTTTTCATTTGATGATCAGGTTCCACTTTTTCAATAGTTGGATCGACACTTTCCAACCGAGGCACCCACTATCCAGTGGCTAAGTATAAGGGAATCCAATAGCGTTATCCATTGGCTGGTTATTTGATCTGATTTATCCATGTTAAAATATTGGGCGCTGATAGGTCTGCCTTCTATAATATCCCAAGTGGGCTTTTTTTCATGTGGAATTCAGTGGGCGTTGCTTTGATTTCCAGTTCAGGCTTCCCCGTCACCATCTTTTCTGTATATTTTTTTCTCAATTCTACAAACTTTAACGTGGCAAAAACAAATAAATCAAATCAAACTGAATAACGTCAAGAGATCAGGAGAAATGTACTTAAAGACCATGCGCCGGTTATGAAAACAAATTTTAGACGGCGTTTAACGAAACCACCTTCTCAGTCGTTTTTTCTTCTTTTAATTGCAATGTGCCCTCCTCCCACCTGATATCTAAACATTGTTTGGTGTCAATAGGATAAGAAAACTACGTATCTATTTAAAATAAGCCACTTAAAAATATTGGGGTTCACCGTCTCTTAAATCGCGCTGTAAGTTAACCTGTTTTAATAACAATCTCTTTTTACCATCATATTACTTGTAAGAATCTTAATTCTCTCCTTTTTTCACTACAGCTGATCCGATGTTGACAGGAGCGTCTATTACTACAGCACATGGATCGGTTCATGGTCAGGCACCTGTTGAACCCTTCAGTGAAAACCACGGTCACATTCAGTATCCACAGCATTACTCCTCCCCTGTTATCCAAACCCATCATCACAGTACCCCGTCCACCATGTTTACCCCTGGAAGATCCTTGGGTAGCGAGCGATTCTTATCTCGTCGGCAATCCTGGCCTGTCTACATTTAAACAGTCCGAGCCCAATTTGGGAAGTTTGCCCTTTGATGAGGTAAAGAGGCCGGATTCACAAAATTGTTATTAAACGTTGGTTAAGATTCATATTCAATAAAAGAGACTTCATGGATTAAATGCGCTAATAGAAGAGTTATTCAGCGTCCATGGGCAGCGAAAGTGTGAGAACTCCACGTGGTACCCTAATACAATCGTAGTAATAAAGGTTTAAGGACTTATTTTACTTGTCATTAGTCAAGAGCAGGTTATGTGAGATTATCAATAGACAAACAGGATTATAATAATAAATGACACTAGGAAGTGGGTCCAGAGAGGGGGGATTGATCGGTATGTTTTACTTTAGTAAAAGAATCCCATACAGTCCAGTACAGTCTCTCTTAACCCTTTAAGCCCCAGTATCCACATACAAATTCTCCATACTTATCTTCACACATTTCCTTAAAGAATCAGTTGAGAGAATTTGATAAAAGATCAAAGCATTTTAACCAGGGTGATCATTTTAATAATTGTCATAACCTTTTCTCTTGATTATGTACTGATATTGTTAAGAGAAAATTGATGTTGATCACTCTTGGGACAGCACAGGAAGACCAACACTTCTCTATCGTTGATCCCCCTTTTGCCTTTTTTTAGTCGTAACTAAACTCTTGCTAATACAGACAGTTAGAGCCAATCCCGATGGTGGTTGTTGTCTTAGGGAGGGTTGACTGTAGACAGAAATGTTGTTGCGATCAGTAAAGTATATCAAACAAGTCAGCTGGCTATTCCCCAAATCATTCACTCTGCTGAGTGTTCTTTACACTGCCGTGAAGTCAAATGATAAATTGCTAGTAGATCACAGGTCTAATTTGTTTCTTGTACTGATATTCTTTTGTCCTCTTTTCATAAGTTAGTAAACACTTTCTTTTGACGCGATTATATTCTCAGCTCTTCCTCACTGACTTGTTCTTCTCCTTCAGTTGTACAGATTCTGGATGAGTTGAAGTGGGACACTCGCCCCAGTACTCAGGACGTGCTGTTGCAGGATCCTGGAGCCGTTGGATCAGTTCCAGGCCCTCTCGATCCTGCTGGCAAGGTTTTCAGTTACCTTTTTTTACCCGTAGTACAACTAAAACAACATAATTTGATTGGTTTGTAACACTGCGACTTAAGCAGCAATGCGAGAATACAGGAAACTTCACATAATACCTCTTTCATTTGATGGTCTAATCGTGACTAATATAAAAAAACAGAAACAAACAGATGCCGCTTTTTCAATAAAAAGATAAGCGCTATCCATCAGATAAATCAGTACTCAGTGGGTAGGGATTAGGAAGCGGTTATTTGTAATGGTTTTTTATTTATGCGCTGGTTAGTTCTATTTTTCCTGTTGAACAACTGGGCCTGTAGACCCCTTGTAAGGCACCTTTCTCTTTCAGTTTATCTTTTATAATTTCCACAGTGGACATTGCTTTAATCTCTTTTAAAGTTTGTACAGTAACTTCCAAAAGTCATCAAAGGCGAAGTTAACTTGAATGCCACAAGTCTAAAATCAGATAGCTTTCCCTGTCACATCATGTTACTCTTGAGGGATCTTAATTAATTTGTACTTTTATTTCTCTTCATCCGGTCCTGTGTTAGTGGGTGCTCCAGTTAGTACGGCACACGATTTCAACTACAGCCTGACACCCTCCTTTGCAGACACCTCTCTTCATGGGATACCGGAACCTTCACTGTATCGATTGCAGACCCAGAGTACAATTGCAGGTGACCACTGTTTCAGTGGATCAACCAGTTCTATAGTTCCTTTCCTACCAGGAACACCGTGATTTCTTCCCCCACATGGAATGATGGGACTGCCTATGAATGGATTGCAAACGCAGAGTACAATTTCAGGCGTCGCGCAATCCAGTGGTTCTGGCATAACCACAGTAACCTACCTGCTACGAATCCCGGGATATGTTTCCCCGCATGGAATGCAAAGTTCTCCACTAACCAGCATGCAGAGTAGAAGTCAAGTTATCAGTGAACACACACAAAATACGGACAGTCTTTGCAACGAATCTGGCACAAGTTCATAATCGGCAGTATTGTGATATATATAAATTTCTGATGGCAATTGTGTAAATTTTCCAATTTATACAGCATTGCAATAGATTTGCAGTGTAGGTTGCGTATTTTTTATGTAAATAATATTTAAATTTTTTTAACACGAAAAATTGTGTAATTCTGCTGTGCGATGTGGCAGCAAACACGTTCAATCCTTTGCTTGGATGAATCAACAATACTACAATGTACATAAATTCATGACAATCTTTGTAAAAATACTCTCTTTTTTTAATAGATTACAATTTTGCTCTGCTATTTTTACTGCTTATTTCTCACTGTTTCCACAGATAATAGCATCATTTCCTTGAAGCGGCCGTAAATTAAAGAGAATTGGCTGCATTAAAGGTTCTCAAAAACCCAGCTTTTCTAAAATACTCTCTTAACTGGAAATGCCCTTTACCAGTCCAGATGAAATAACAATGACATAGCGTTCCCACACAGGATAAGTATGCTTTTCTTTCACGTGGAGTTACTTGGTCTTTTGTTAATCGGAGTAAAACCTTGCAGAGGTATATGTGGCATACTTGATCCAAATAGATCTACTGACCAGAAATACATGACTTGATAAATCAAAAAACAAAGGATTGCAATCGAAAATGCCAGGAGGGGATCCAGAGAGTTATGAAAAAGCGAAGGGGGAGGGGAGGGCAAACTTTTCCCAAGATTAGAACTGGTTTCCATCACCTTCCGCCTGCCTTCGACGTATTTTCCTAAAAAACAACATCAGAAGCACATTTGGACAAGCCCATGATATGTTAACATATTAAGGCAAAGTGTTGCGCCGTCCAAGTTTCCAATAGATACCAGATGAATGCTTTATCCGATCCTTTGCAAGTTCGACGTGTCAAGTACTAAAAAATCTGTTGTGCTGAAAAAGGATTCGGAGTAGACCCACTAAACGAGATTCTGGTTCTTTACAATTTTTTCTTTAAGAAATTTTCCGCCGAGCAAACAAGTCACTTTCATAATGGAGTCTTCCCCCCACCACCACCTTACTTAAATTCGTAGTTGAAAACAGAAAGTCATGCCTACATTCTTTATCCAAAGAATGCATGGGATAGGTAACTCTTCAATTGCTCCGAGTTTATTTTTGTCAGATCTATTTAAAGCAAGCTGAAACTTGTTGACCTACAATTTTAGCTACCAAAACAATAGCTGATTTGTTGTACATGACTAAGCCATTAAAATATATGTAATACGACTATGTTTATGGGTGTTTATGAAACTAGAACTCTAGCGCCCCCACCGGATACTCAAGAAGGTAGAGTAGAGGGTAAATGTTCCTGTTTTCTCGAGAACGTGAAAATGTGAATGTATGGGACAGAACCCCCTGGCGGGCGGGGGGTGGTACTTGGGTTTATTTTTTTATTTTTTTCCGCCGCTGGCCTCTCAGAGCCCCTACCCCATTATAGTCCAATCTGTGGCCAATTTTAGAGCCCATCTCAGTCAATTTTTGGCAAGTGTAATTTTCGCGATCTCAACTTAGTCACTTTCTTTTTATGTATCTTAACCTTATCCTAAGAATTGTCCTAAAATGAATTGACCCATTTTTTATATTGAATGAAGAACGCTTTACTTTTCACCTACAATACAAACATTCTGGTACGTTAGCTAACCATAAATATCCATAAATATGAAGAACTTTCTTACCCCAAAAATCCGAAAATGTGCGACCCCATTCAAGTAACTCTATTGAAAGTGCAACCCCATTATTATATAGTCAAACCAGTTGTGAAAATGCAACTTCATCCGGCGACACATTCCCACTAGCCTCTAATAAGGAAGTCCCCCCCCACTTCAGGACAGAACCTCGATTTAACGAAATCCTCGTTATACAGACGAACACAATCCAGAAACGCAATCTTAAAAATTATTGTATCGCGATATAACGAATAAATGTCAACATGTGATAAAAGATGAATGCCAAACAGACCAAAAAGGATAAAATTTGTGCGTACAGTGGAGGGAGGGGAAACAGTTTTGTTTGCCTGTTCTCGAGTTTCCAGTGCCGAAGATCCGAGAATACTGGGTTTTGTAAATTAACTATTAACTATGCCTCGATATAACGAACATTTTGGCTGTTTTTTCGAAAATTCGTTAAATCGAGGTGTGCGACATAACGAACTCTCGATATAACGAACAAATTTCCCCAGTTCTACTGTACCAATACTATGCTGAATAGCTTTCGACAATCTTTGACGTATCGCGTGACCCTTATCAAGTGCCTCATTCCCAGACGCTGACGTCATGACAGAGTAACCGCACCTTACGTCCGTCCACTCGATCGCCCGACATCTTCAGAAGCAAAGATCATAGTTGGTCATACTTCCAAGCCCTCAAACGCAGGTTTGTTTCAAACATGATTTCTCTAGTTTGGATTTAAGACATTCACAGTTAACTATGTGGTGTGTAGCCTTTTAAAGAAAGTCAATTTCGTATGTGTAAACTAACATATTCTTTCCATACTCAGTGATCATGCTCGCATTGCAGGATCATTGGCGTTCATACCGCTTGGTACAAGTTAAGCCATATAGTATAACTTCCACCCAGCATGAACAGAAATGATCCGTCGGACAATGCGAGTTTGATCACACCGATGGAAGGGAAATGTCTTGAAATGTCTGATAATCCAGTTCAAACAATCATTGCAGGTTTCGCTTCCTTTCGCTTCGCTCTATCCTTGTGGATACAGGTTTGATTTTTCTTCTTTTAGACTGTTCACAGTCCCCTATTTTTTCGTGAGATCGTTGAGATATAGCACGTCTTACCGTTAATGACGGCCATCTTGATTTTCAAATGTACCGAGGGGGCGGGCGTGGGGGATTATAGCTCTAGGGGGAGGTGGGCGAGAAAAATAGAGGGACTGTAATAACATAACTGCAGTTTGTGTTCACGGAGCGCGTTGTACCAGCAACGCAGGCGTTTGATTGGTCATTAGACAATGGATGTTAATTTGCGTTGACAACGGGTTTAGTTTAAGTTGCAGACACTGACAAGTCGTCGTTTCTGTAAAATGCACGCTTTCATACCATAAGGTACACCTTGCGCAAACACACAAACGATTTTTGGTATTTTGCGGATGAATCACGTAAGCCAACATGCTTTGGAAGCAGCCCGGCCGCGGGAATGTTGTAACACAGTTTCTGCCAAACGAAATGAAATTTAACGCAACGCCGACGCAAAAAAGATGACCTGTCAGAAATGCCTGGCTTTTTATCGGAACGTTTTAACCGTTTTAGTCTATGGTCAAGCGAGCATGCTTAGCGATTTGATTAGGAAAATGTTTCTTTCGTGCCTCTTTGCCGATATTATTTGTAGGAATGGCCTAGAAACATTATAAAATCACTGTTTCGAAAGGAGATATTTGTAAACACACGTAATCGATGCTAAATGTGTCTGGCATGTTTTTCATCGCCAGCGGAGTTTCTTAATTAATGAATGGTAAAAGGCGTGAAATTCCTGTCACGCCTCCTGAACGCGAGCTGCAGTGATGTTATTACAGTCCCTCTATTTTTCTCGCTTCCTCCCAAACCGCCCCCTACCCCCTAAGTAGTTTTGACACTCGCGCAAGATGCAGCCCAAAACGCAAAGTGCTCGATCTCGATGATCTTACGGAAAAATAGAGGACTGTGAACAGTCTATTCTTCTTTCAAAGTTCTTAGTTTCAACTTTCTCAAGTAATTGTATTTCTAGCATGATTCCAAAAGCCTCCAAAATAACCTGTCATCATAAACTCCACATTTCTTTATCGGTCAGTGTAAGACGCAGAGTGCGGACTGCGGACTGGAGACTGCGGACCAGGGATAAAATGAAAACTGTGTGTAAAATGCAGACTGCAGACTGAGAGTAAAAGGCAGGCTGGGGTAAAATGCAGACCGAGCATAAACTGTAGTCGTGGAAGGGTTTAAGTGCCAAACAATCCCGCAAGTACATTTAAACGAACACTTTCTTTGCGACATCTGCTGTCACAAATCCACTCCTTTCTTCTCTGGAACGTCGTCAACGACCCGAAAACATAATCACAATCTTGAACCTTTTTTCCATCCGAGAGACTTCATGCTTCAACTTTAGATGCAAAGTTTTCGATATACGTGACCAGGGACCGTGAACTAGTACAACACCACGATGTTTACGCTTAATGAAAGCTAACCCAAAATACTGTACAGGAAGAATTATGGAGATAAAAAAGGGAGTAAATCATTCCAACAACAAAGAAAGATGTTCTGCAGGAAATTTGGATGACCTTCTATGAAAGTATTGCAAATCAAGGTACGCAGACTTGAGGTGTTCGGATGTTCATTGATACTTCTGGCAAATGTGCAATTCACTTTGACTAGGAAGCGAAGTGTGTAACTGATACCGGCTAGCTATTTCACCGATTTGGAGAAGAAGGAGCACAAATGTTTAAAAAAGTCTACAGTCTTTATTCTGCATTTTGCACCCAGCCTGTGTTTTACTCTCAGTCTGTATTTTACCCCTGGTCCGCAGTCTGCAGTCCGCAGTCTGCGTTTTACACTGACAGATTTCTTTATTACCATGCTGCTACCTACAAAACGGTGCATGTTATCAGCTTTCATCATTGGTTACTCTGCGAACAGTCTGCTACGGGCTTTCTAGATATGTCGGGAAGAGGAAGGAGACTCTGTTGACTGCCTCGATCAGCCTCCCTTTCAAACTAATGACCGCGCAAGTTATCATTCCAAAAAAGTGCAAATAACTTTTAAAATTAAAATCGTTAATTCTCGCCAAGCAAGTTTATAAATTTTTTGTCCCGCATGCGTGACCTTGCCTTGGTTATAAATATCTTTATTTGTTTGGGCAAATGCAGTTACCTAGCAACAAGGCACTCTCCTGGTTGCTTTAGGGGCCGTTTAATGTCATTTACGAGGTCAAGAAATGCTTTTAGTGAAAAATTTCAAGGGTAGAAGTTCCTTTTTCAGAAAATGACATTGCCTTCAAAATAACCGCGGAAATCGAGGAAAGAAAACTTCAGTGTATGCTTCGCGTCCTACTTCGAGTTGTATCAGCTTTAATTTGTTGGGCATAATAATATGTCCTTTCATTGTCACGAAATGAGTTTACGGTGCTTTTTTACTGCCAATAGCCCAGTTATTTTCCTGAAATATACCTTTGAATTCGGGTTTAATACGGCTCGATCAGCTTCAAAAGGCATTTGCTGATGGAATTGCCATGGAAAACGTCT